TTTCGACCACTCACCTGCCACACACGAATTCCGGAGGTGTGGTCGACCCACAGACGGATGGCAGCCTTCTGAGAGATGTTATGGTCGTAGGCAACGCCGAGCTGGTCCAGGAGCCACTTCAGGTCGCCTGTCGACGGAGAGATGCAATCGATGTTAAAGCGAGCCGTTGCGGGAGGGATACCACTTCACGGCTAGCGCAACAGGATACCTCGCATGTATGCAGGGCCAAGCAGAGGGATCATAGGCAATGATTCGACACATGGAGTCACTTCACTCACCGGAGGCCGGGTCCTCGTTGTGCTTGGCGTAGTAGCGCTCCCTGACCTTCTTCTGGTTGGTCAGAAAGTCGTCAACGGACCTCCACCCGCCAGTGAACTTCTTCTTGTACGTGCTCGGCTTTGCTCCGGTGAGATTTGCCAGCTTGCACTGCTTCTCGTTCAGGACAACAGGTCCGGAGGAGTCACGGCCGCGCTTGCGGTCGTTCCTGTTGGGAAGCTTCTTCTTGGCCTCCTCCTTGAGCATCGCAAAAAGATTCTTCTGCGTCATCTTGGCGGCCATCTGCAGAGTATCAAAGGGGGTTTAGAACAATGGATACATGTAAAGAACACTCCAGACGGCAAGCCCCCTATGTTGAGCCAAGTATGCAACGCACAATCTTCATAGAGCAATGGACCTTCTAGAATTTCCAATACTTGTCTGTTCAATACGTCTTGTTCGAAAATGCTTCTATCAATCAGCCGACGTCCTCAACATCGCTCTCTACAGGTCCTGCACCAGGGGCCTCCACTGCTTTGTTGCTTGCAATCGCGTACTGCAGAGCATTGTCAACGATCTCCTGAAGCTGCTCGTTCTCCCTACAAAGCGCCGCATTCTCTACCATGAGGTTCTGAACCTTCTTCTCGCTCTTATCCAATGCCTGCTGAAGCTGGTGCCTACGACTTTCCAACTCTTGTAACAGACAAGCGGCCGTCTTAACGTCCTCCACCACTGAAAGCATATGCTCGTGAAGACACTGCCCCATTTTATCAGAGCTCCTATCCAC